GTCTTACCACCTTCATCCATCGACGCGTAAATGTACTCCAAACCATACAGGTCAAGACCATCGAGAATCCAACCGTCACCACTGTGAAAAAGCCAACCACTCGTCCACTTGCTAGTCATGGTGCAGTTCAACTCAACACTCGAAAGTGCCTGATGTGCAGTGATCACCATCCCTTATACATGTGCTCATCATTTTCGAACCTGAAAGAAGTACGACGTCATCAGCTTTGCCGCAACTGTCTACATAAGGGACACGTAGCGAAGGATTGTTCTTCATCCAGTACCTGTCGGAAATGCCGCAGCCGTCATCATACTCAAATATGCGCCAACGATGGTTCAAATTCGGGAAAAACGAAACCAGAGCCATCAACCGTCAACCACTCTCCTTTAACAGATCAGCAGTCTAATCCCACCGTCTCAGCAACAGCCATCGATCCAACCAGCTACGCTTCAGCAGGACAGAGCAGTAAAAGGGTTCTGCTAGCCACAGCAGTAGTCATCTTGGTCGACGATACCGGAGTTCAACACGCTGCACGAGAACTTTTGAATTCGGGCAGCGAGTGTTGTTTCATAACGGAGACCCTGTCCCAATCGTTGACGGTTCGGAGAAAGAAAATCTCTCTACCAATTGCTGGAATACGTCGGTCATCCACTCAAGCTGTACAAAAATTCATTTCCACCATTCGTTCTCGCACCTCCGATTTCGTCGGTACTGTAGAATTTCTCGTTCTTCCAAGACTCACCGTTGATTTGCCGTCCACGTCGATCAACATAACGTCATGGAAAATTTATCTGGTAAGGTATTAAGGGGAAGCATACCGTCAAATTGTTTTTTTTTTTCTAGCCCGTTATTTTTTTTAAATATTGGAGAAACATTCAATACTCCGAATACGGTGGGTAAAAATCTTTACGCCGACTACTGTAGATTATTCTGATTGTAAGAAGATTGAAAATAGAGTCATCCATTTTTTGACGTAGGATTACGTCTTTCGGTAACATATTGGTTCAAAAAACCAAAATCAAACGTGTTACGAAAAGTGGTCAGGTTTTGACCCCTTATAACTCTGTCAATAGCGGATGGATTTTAATTCTAAACAAGCCAATCGATTGGAAATTTGCCCACGAATTTGCTCAAATGAACACTTTATCAATTTTCAACTGCAACTTCAAAATTATCACCGATTGCCAGCAAAAAGCTGTTTCCCTAACACAGATTGATTTCAAAATCGAATTCCATCCGGTCTCGCCGAACGGTGCTTATTCAATCACCGTGTGCGATGGTGTGTGGTCGGTCGTCATCTTTCAGCAGCAGCAACAGTGCTTTTGGAGCGTGGCGTTAAACATTGTTCTCCAGTACACAACGAATTGCTGCCCGTAAGCAGCGAGCTGCAACCCACATGAGCGTCCATTCACCAAAGAAGGAGGAAGAAGCCGCACCGCTACTGATCGGATTCAGTAGCTCTTCGTGAGTCGCCATCTATACCAAGCGCGTCACCGTCATTCGATTCCGTCAGCTCACCAGCCTCATCTGTTTTAAAGAGTATTTTCTGGACATTTGTCAAGGTCATAGGTCGGATGTCAGTTCCCATAAGTTTAAATCTTACAAACCATATATTTTTAAGGCAACATTGGGGGTGCAATTTAAAAAACCAAAGTCGGTCGCGACATGAAAGTGGTCTGATTTTGATCCGGATATGATGGATTTTAGATCTAAATACGTCAATCGATAGGATTATTTTTTAACGAAACTGTTAAATTAAGACTATCAATTTTCAATAGATTACTATTGAAAATGGCACGAATGTGCAACTGTTGCTGTGATCAGGGTTCTGCATTTTGGAATCAAAGAAAAGAAAATGAACTCTCCGCAGAATCGTTTAATTTCGACGCGAAGGTGCCGAAAATCGATATCCGACGCCATTTTGTAACTCAAGATAGTGGCCATTGGTTTTATGAAGTGTCAAATACCCTAAGATATGGGTATTTTCGGAACCAATATGGCGACCATCAGGATTCAGAAAGAGTCAACTATCCTAAAATATGAGTATTTTCGGAATAAGGATGACGCGTAGATGCCAACAATCGATATTCGACGCCATTTTGGAATCAACTTCAACTTTCATAAAACGTGTCAAATACCCTAATATATGGGTATTTTCGGAACGGAGACAACGCGTAGATCCCGAAAATCGATATAAGATACCATTTTGGAACCCGGAGGCTATCAAGGTTCAGAGAGTGTCAAATAGCCTACAATATGGGTATTTTCGGAATGGAGACAACGTGTGAATGCCGAAAATCGATATTCGACGTTATTTTGGAATCCAATATGGCAGCCATCGGGTTTCACAAAATGTGTCAAATACAGTAAGATCTGGGTATTTTCGGAACGAGGACGACGCGTAGATGCTGAAAATCTATAGTCGATACTATTTGTAGGATATTTGACATTTCTTCTGAAATCGGAAGCCACTATCTTGAATTTCAAGATGGTGTCGGACATCGATTTCCGGCTTCTAGATGTCAGCCCGATTCCAAAAAAAAAAACCCACATTGATCGATATTTGACAGTATTTCACAGTTTTTTTCTGAACCAAAGCCGCCATCTTGGATTTAAAGACGGCGTGACATCAATTTTCGGCATTTTCGTCTCATCCCCATTCTGAAAATAACATTATTTTAGGATATTTCACACTTTTCCGCAAATCGGAAGCCAAACAAAATGGCGTCGGATATCGGTTTCCGGCTTCTAACGTCACCCTGATTCTAAAAATTTTTGTTAGAATTTACAACTTTTTCTCAAACCGGAAGCCGGCATCACGGATTTCAAAATGGCGTCGGATATTGATTTTCAATCTCCAGACGTCACCCCGATTCCAAAAATACCCATATTTATGGGACGGCATCAGCATTTCCCATGTTTCTGAAATAGGAAGCCGTCATATTGGGTTTCAAAATGGCGTCGGATATCGATTTCCGGCCTCTAGACGCCATCCCGATTCCAAAAATACCTATATTGATGGGTATTTGACAGTATTTCCCGCACAATCTGAAATCGGAAGCCGCCATCATGGATTTCGAAATGGCGTCGGATATCGATTTTCATCCTCTTGATATCATCCCGATTCCAAAAATACCTTTATTGATAAGTATATGACAGCATTTCTTATTTTTTCTTAAACTGGAAGCCGCCATCTTGGATTTCAGAAGGGCGTCGCATATCAATTTTTGATCTCTAGACGTCACCCCGATTAAAAAAAATAACCATATTGATGGATAAACAAACCACCCGACAATGCGAAATTTGACATCCACGTGCATGCGCATCTATCATCTATGCGCATACGCTCAAATGAACCGAGTGAACAAGTAACAAAAGTCATCAAAACTGCAAGAATTTGGATCGAACAGCTTCGCTTCAATGCAAATGTAAGTTCACTTGACAATGAATGAAGAAATGAACACGAGTTAAGCCAAAATTCTGTTGATATTGATGAGGATCTGCTCGAAGAGAAGACAGAATAACTTTCAATTGAAAGTGATGGTTGACAGCTTCATCGTCGCTTGACGTTTTTCGATTGAAAGTGACTTTGTGGGGCCCTGGCTGTGATTATTAAAAATACCACCGATTGCCTTCGAAATGCGCATTCCCTAACACAGATTTCAAAATCGAATTCCATCGGGTCTCGCCAAACGGTGTTTATTCAATCACCGCATGTGGTGAGTGGTGGTGTCCGGTCGTCATCATCAGCAGCAGCAACCGAACCGATATGGTCGTAACTCATTTCTCCCATCTTTGATAGACACATCAACTTGAAGAGTGCCCATCGTTGAGCATCAACAACAACAACAGAAAAAGACAAATCCATTCCGAAAAAAAACACCCTGCACATTAATTGCATTGGAATGAGCTTGCACAATTCCCCCCTGCCGGACACCACTGCAGCAACAAAGTTTCATTCCGAGCAATTGATTGAAATGTCATCATACCCCCGCCGGCCTGCCCGCCCTGCCGCGGCTGTATGGATTGGATTGGATCCGAAAGATCAAAAAGTAGGTTGAACCATAATTAAATACTCACTTCGCTCGTTCTTTGTCTTTGAAATGCCTTAGCGAAAGAAAAGTAAAACGAACTAAAACAGAAGTTCCAGAGGTGCGGAGTGGAAATGCCTTGCAATTATATCCTTCAGAGTTGGGAAAACGACAAGTGGCGCGAGCAAAGTGAAATTAATCCCATTGTTGGATTCCATTTCGGCCCTCGTCGTGTTCGTCTTCGTCGTCGTGCACGAGTCGGTAATTAGTAAAGTAGGAAGAACAGAGCCTGAGCGGGCCGGTCTTTGCCGTTTTGCATAAATACAGGGGGTAGGTCATGTTGCTCTTGAAAGGCTCACACGAAGAGGCGAAGGTCAAGAGTGTATGGTTCTCGGTTTGAAATTGGAGGGGTAAAAAAACGTAGGCAGTTAGTTGAGTAAAGCTGGGATTCAGTTGGAGCGAATAGGAAGTAGACTATGGTCGGTTGCCTGATGGCGTGAAATTAATTCCACTTCTGATGGTTGGGCCGGGAGGATCAGCGTGGACAAAATTTAATCCAAGCGGATTCTTTGCAAATTTAATGAAATTGATTATGTAATATTAAGAAGCGTAACAGGATTATAACTACTGCTATCCAATATTTCGGTTTATAAAAAAAATATAAACAAACCCCACCAATCTGTCAAGTATCTGAGGAAAGAAGTGAGGTTTAGCATATCGTGAACTTGTCCGGTGCTAACTCAATGGTAATTATTCCAAACTTCTGCAACATTTCCCAACAAAGACCCCCATCTTGAACCGCACTTACTTACTAAAAACCACAACAAAGCCTCACATGAAGCAGAACCACTGCTTGTTCTTGTGGTGATGTAAACTTTCCGCTCAACGGAGCGGAACAATTGCGCTCCCCCAGCGCAACCCGCACACTCCGGAATCGAAGCGACAAAAAACAAATCCCCTCTCCCTTACCTGTTCCTTCGCCAGCTGATACCACGTCTTGGTGATCATCTCCAGCCGGGTGTCGTGGTACCCCTTGGTCGTCTTGACGCTGATCAGCAGATCGTCCAGCTCGGTCGTCGGCGGCTTCGGTGTCCCCGTGACCGCCGGTTGCTGCCCATTCTGGTACGAATCGTAATAGTCCGACCGGGTCGGTTTGCTATGATGTCTAACACCAACACTATTGCTACTGATAAGCCTATTATGGATCACATTGCCGCCGTAACCGTTGGCGCTATCATCACCACCATCACTACCACCATTCACCACACTGTTATCCCGTTTGGCTATCACATTTTCCGCTGCTGCTGCTGCCGCCGCCGAATCCAGCGAGTTGTATTGCAGTTCCTGTAATTGGAAATTGGAAACAAAACATCTATCAGTCAGCGGTCAATAATCGAATTTCGGAACGCGGCTGGAAGCCGTGACAGACTCGATGACAACGAACGAACGGAACCATCATGACAGAAAACAACCGTGATATTGGAATTGAGGTATCCGAACGGGACGGGAGGAAGCAGTTCGAAAAAGACTCAGAACCGAACGAAGAGAACACAAAGCACAGCAGGTGCACTGCACTGTCACGATCTGGGCCGGCCGGCCAACTGCCAACTGCCGCCATCTTTGTTGTTTTTGTTTTCGTTGCGATTCTCGCAGTGGGCGGTGTGACGGTTTAGGTTAGAAGATCGTGGATGTTCGGAATTGCAGTCTGGCGAAATCGAGGCAGAAAACACGAGTAAATGTCGGATTCCGTTGTTTGGTGAGGTTACAAGTCGATAAACATATCAGCTGAATCTGGTAAATATGATTCGGCTCGAGGGGGATGGATAATATACGATCTTAATATTCATGAACAACGTGCACTGTCATCGGTTTCGTAAATATGCCGCTTGCGGTATGGTTACCATTACAGAAGTGCCAGGGCTGTCTCTATCAAGCACGCTTGCTATAGGTTTCGATCCACCAGCACCACCAATGGTGGAGTGCAATAGGCGATTATGAGAGCAAATGTCAACGGAATCTTGCAAATTTCCATCGGGAGTGGCATAATTTTACTATTTTCCACAGATCTAAACTGAGTGGTCCGGAATGCAGGTTTAGCTGGAAGGATATGTTTTGAGCTTGAAATTGAAACTTTAGACTAAAAGTCTCTTCTACAAAGTTGTTCCTTATAGCTAGGCCCTCATTTTTATGACAATGAATTCTAGGGTGGTTCTTATTATCATTAAAATCAAAAATCTAACTTTTTTGTTTGAAGAAATTAAGGTATACATATTTTATCAAAGTTATAGCAGCGCTAATTTCAAGCAACTTTGTAGAAAAGACCTTTTTTATTTTATTTTTTATTTTTATTTTATTGATCGATTTAGAGCTATTTTTTTGAATTGAGTTAGGGTGTCTCTAAAAAAACCGTTATTTTGCTCTAGTTTTCTTATTTCAAATTTCTCAGCAAAGGTGTCTTAAAATAACTTTTAGATCTTTAGAAGGCGCAGAGCTTGTCGATATCTTTCGCCGATCAAGAGTTATTGACGTATTTCTACTAAAAATATGCCCTTTTCAAATGTTAATATCTCTGGTTGGGGCAAACAAAATAAAAGTTTTTTTACGGCATTTGAAAGGGCGTATGTTGTTTTCAGTAATGTGAAAAAATAAGAGGTATATTATTTTTTCAACTCGAATTGGCAAATCAAAGTTGGCACTCGTGGAGAATAGAAGAACTATGAGAGTGATGATGTTTTCAAAATTTTACACGGTGAGGTATACGAGTGCAATCTTTAAATGCTTGTATTTTGCAAATGGAGTATTTTATTTAAATCTGGTTAATGCTACGCTAGTAGAAAACTTAAGGACTACCAAATAGACATATAATATAGAAAAAATAATTTCTTTTCAGATTTTTATGTGTAGACATAGATTTCAGCTTTTCTACAACTATAGCAGCAACCAGATTTAAATAAAATGCTCCATTTGCAAAATAAAAGCATTTTAAGATTGCACTCGTATACCTCCCCGTTGGAAAATTTTGAAACCATCATCACTTTCATAGTTATTCTATTCTCCACGAGTGCCAACTTGGATTTGCCAATAAAATCAATTTAAATTTATTCGGTCAGTTTAAGAGATACAAAAAAGGTCTTTTCTACAAAGTTGCTTGAAATTAGCTCTGTTATAACTTTGCTGAAATATGTATACCTTATTTTTTTTTCAAACAAAAAAGTTAGATTCTAGATTTCAATGATAATAAGAACCACTCTAGAATTCATTGTCATAAAAATAAGCGATAAACAACTTGCGAGTGTTATGTCTGCTTGTATGTGGTCAATCTTTAGCTTTCAATCTCTATTTTGCTAGAAAAATATTACATCGTAATTAAATTGAATTCATTTTCCAAAAACTAGTCCTCCATTAATAGGCACACTGTTCCAGTAGTAGTGGTAGTTGCTAACTTTGGTTCCTTTAATAGTGGAACGCATTGCTTTCTTATGGATTCCACTATTATCTGGAAGTACGGATTTTGACCCTTCCTTTTCCCTCTCCCAGGAACAGAAGAAAACGGAACATACGCCCTCCAGTTAGTGCCCTAAAGCACAGTGAAGGATACATTTATGCATACAAACAGGCCGCCATTACCGGGCATGGAAAGCTGGATAGGCCTTTTTAATAAAAACTAAGCGATCGATTCAACCTCTGGTGATGAATAGGAGAACGTCAAAAAGAGTGTTGTGAGCAGAAATGTTTGCCGTGAGACATAGGAAGTGGAACACTTTTCACTTTTCCTGATAAATTGTTTCATCTGAGATGCTTCAAAATTTAATCTACAGTTGAAAAAGTTAATTCTGTATCGTTTTTGCAAAGATCCTGCTGGTGTTGAGGAATATTTTTGTTGAGAAATATTGAAAATATAATATATCTTCCGGATTTCTTGTATGTGAATAGTTAAGGTACAAATCAGTTCATATCTGTGGAAAATCGTACAATAAGACAAAAGCTGATGGAAGTTGGCAAGATTTTGAATGAAAAATGCTTTAATTTGCGTTGTGAAAAATAGTTATTCTGATGTAAACAAACGTTTTCAAACTCTACGTTGGTGGTGCATTTAAAAGGCCTATAGGCACACTACCGCAACTATAGGTGCATAGGAGTAGAAATCTTAAGGAATAATAATTGTTTTCCGTAACTTTTGGGTTAATTTAAAGTTTTATATATGAAAATCTGCTTTATTTTATGAGAGCTACCGATTAATAATAATCTTATTCGGTTTTCCCCCATTATTCCGACACAACCCACGTACCGCAACTATAGGTACACCACTATTACTGGAACACCTACCCTACCGCTCAAATTAAAAATCCGGAAGATCACAACCGCTGGGATAGGTGAATCCAATAGAAACTAAGCGATTGTGTCAGCCTCTGGTGGTGAATAGGGAAACCCTCAAAAAAGCACCGTGGAGCATAGGAAATTTAAAATATTTTCATTTTTCCTGATTAATTTATCCGGCGCAGGTGCTTGAAATCGTCATCCACGTGGAATGCTTTGTTTTCTGTATCGATTTTGCAGTGATCCGGCTGCTGCTTCCACATATGTTTCTAATCTAATCAAATCTAATCTAATCTAATCTAATACAATCGCAGCCAGTACAAGAAAGCATCCTGGAAAATCATTAGGTTAGATGAGACCTAACCATTTTTCTTGTCAACATTGATGTTTGCAGCATATCTGAGATATGACACAAACATCAAAACGGCCAGGCCTACTGCGTTGCATTTGGCACAAAGATGATTCTGTGAATGGATTCGAGTTCAAATAAACCGTGGAGGCACCATATTCGAAGCAGTTCCTAAATCGAAGCACTCCACAATGTTGCAAATATTAGTTTTAGTGTTCTAGGGATGATGGTGTTACAAGGTTTTAAAAAATATCTTGTCAAAATAGACGAGTGCGTCATCATTAGGAACGCGTCAAATATGGTGCTGGCATGGTATATCTAAACAGCGATGCATTTCGTGAATCTTCAGGGGTGGAAGGATGCGTGGACATACCGTACCAAACGCTCCGAGCTAGGTTATTAGTGAATGTAACAGTAATATGCAATGTAATGAATGGTATATAAAATACAGTGTAATGGAAGGATCTCACCAAATGCCTCCAATGTTAACCAAATTCCCGATTTCCATTTAACGTTTGTCAGCTGTAAGCTTCTCTCTGGCACTTGAAAGTCCTTCCTCGGCAACATGATCGCACTGAACGATGGGACGTTGGGGGTTTGCTGGCTTGGCAGCGGCCCCAGGAACAAGCTGGGGGATATTGTAGGTCCTGCAGTCTGTCGATGTACGTGCACTCGCGGTGTTCCGAATGGGAGATCTTTCGTTGTTGGTGATTGAACATTTGCGCCAGGAATTGAGCTGCGAATCTCGGCTTTGGTGGTGACCCAGAACCCGGCAATCGAATCCAGGTCCATCTATGGTAGTTGTTGACCGGATCAGCGCCCAAGTATAAATATAACACAGGTCATCACTGGAATTTCGAATCGCGGAAAATGTGCTCCAATTACGAGACAAACTATCTCACATAAATTATTAATTTTAAATTTTTCCAAATTTCCAAACGCGACAAAGAAAACAAACGTCACGGCCGTACGGACGCACAACCTACTCCACAGCGTCAAGGATAAGCAAAAAAGCCGGCTTATGTTTGATGAGAAAATGAAGATTCATAAAACTGTCCCAGCGGTTATCTTCCGAGTGTTTAATGTGTGTGTAATCCAGTTCAGATCTGTAGAACATATCAACAAAAAATTTCCAGAACACCAGCAGGATCCTTGAAAAAACGATACAGAATTCAATTTTTCAACTATAGATCAAGTTTTGGAGCATCTCAGATGAATCAATTTATCAGGAAAAGTGAAAAAGTGTTCCGCTTCCTATGCCTCACGGCAGAAATTTCTGCTCACAACACTCTTTTTGACGTTCTTCTATTCACCACCAGATGTTGAATCAATCGCTTAGTTTCTATTAAAAAGGCGTATATGTGCAATAAAGTATGCATTATTATGATTTTTGAAAATCGTCATTTAAACAAACGGTTTGGGTGACATTTCCTCTCAAAACCACCTAGCGCACTCTACATTGATGGTGCAACAAAATAGCCTATAGTTTTATAAATCTTCATTTTACTCAACAACAATATGTGGAAGCATCAGCCGAGTTACTGCAAAATCGATACGGAAAATTAAATATTCCAAGTGAAAGATGGTTTCAGACACCTGCGACAGATTAAATTAATCAGGGAAAGTGAAAATATTTTCATATTTTAACAAAAACCAAGCGATAGATTTAAGCTCTGGT